AAAAGAATTTTTAAACATCAATTAAAATATTACACATTTATTTAATTTTACTTTTATGAAGTTCTAAAAATAGAAAAATGGAAAAGTAGAAAAATAGAAATTTAATAAAAAATGCATGAAAATCAAATAGTCGCCAATTTTCACTATGATATTCGTAATCAGCGCATCAAGATACGTAAGAATACTGAGTTTCAAAAAAATCGGGGGTAAGTACTTTTCGGAACTTTATCCATGAATGTATAAGTGAGAGTACTTACGGTACATATCCGAGTTGTACATATAATCTCTGTTTTTCGTTTTCACATCTTTATTGGAAATAGTTCTATCTTTATATCATTTGAAACTATCGTTTCTTATGATTTCAGTTAAAGCTATAACAAATTTTGAATAATAAACTACGAGAATAAATAAGATATAAAAAGATATGTAATTTTTAACTTGAAAAACATTTTTTAGAAGAAATTATTGCTTACAATTTTCATTATAGTATTATCCACAAATATTTTTTTTCATAGTGTTATACGTAGTGTGATGCTGGATGAGGACACTGGTATAGCACTATTAACTCTGATTTGTGTATCGCGGTGCCAAAGCACTTAATAAGACTATATCGAAGCTGGAGAAGTGATCAATTCAGAATCCCTTGAGCTCTAGGTTTCCCTTATTCCCGAGATCTGATTAGAAAAGTCTTACTTTCTGTCGTTGTTGAATGTGACGTCACAGAAGTTTCGTCATTATTGATTTAGTTGTATTTGTCAGATATTTCGTACGAATTTTTATTATCTTTTCGGTATCAGTTTTTTATTCCGCTGGAGAATTCTACTGCGAGGTATCTACTGGTTTTTATTTATTTTTAGGCGACCGGCGCGGTTTCGTCACCGGTCTCTCGCGTCTTTCTCACGGTTACTCGTAGATATAGATATTGATAAGTGACTAAATGTTTAAGGAATGTGTGACGCAAGATGCTCTATTTACCGAACGACTCATTTCTATCACCGATCGCTTATCATTGCCGCAACTTCGCGGAAGGGAGGAATCGCCAGGACGTAACATATGTATATATTAATATTTTTACAATTTTTTAACGGACAAATGTCATGTGATTGTGACATTTACTCAATAAACAAGTGGAAATTAACAATAAGGTATCCAATAAAAAATTATATAAATATTGGTATGTAATACTATGCGATTGGTATCTAATGCTATACCTCCCTTTTCGAAACGGTGAGTGTGGATTGAGACATGTTTATTATCTCTCTGTCTTGTTTGCCGATTTTCTGCCGCTTCTCGCCCCTCGGGGCCTTTCTTTTTTAGAGCTGCATTGTCAAGGGCTACTTTGCTTGACCTTTGGGTATACGTGCTGCATCAGCTCTGATTAATCTGGCGCTTTTTCTGGATTTTCTTCTTGGATTTTTCTCTGTGATTTTGCCGAGTTTGACGTGACGGTTTTTGACGTGACCCGGGCTTGTTTACAAAGCATCTGTTTACGGTTGTGCGATGGATGCCGGCGTGGGCGCCGGTGGGCAGAATAACAATGGCGTAGGCAGGAGGGAGCTCACGAGGCAGTCTTCTAGCGCATCCTTATTGAATTTTTCAGGTATGTCCGAGAGAACTAACATTGATGTGATAAATTCCTCGAGGGTAAATGCGCTTAGGGCCACGGTGCAACGACACAGTGACGCTGTGTCCAGACAGCTATTAACTAGCTAGGAAACATTGGACAAGAGGGCAGCGATTGAGTCTGCATTTCGGGCATCCAGGGATGCATTCATGGAGGTATCGGCGGTTTTAATAAATCTAATTGATGAACGCTCGTCATCATCGTCCGGAAATCTTTTGGCGGGTGACATCAAGAGAGTTGTGACGGATGCGCTAAATGATATCAGTGCTCGAGGCGTGGCTGCTGTGAAAGGTGACGTCCGTCGTGCGGAGACTAAAGAAGCGAGAGGAAGATCTTACGCTTCCGTTACCGGTTCTTCAAGATCTGAAGTCCGGGTATCTAGAGATCTGACGGTGGAGCTGTCCAACACCACTAGCTTTCTGGTTGTGCCGAAGGACGATATGAAGGACAGATTTACTTCGTTTCAAGCTACTAAAGAGACTTTGTGCAATGTGTCCAAACCAGCTGACTGTGGACTAAAGGTCAAATACTTACACATGCGCGAGACAGCGGAGTTAGGATCGAGGCTTTTTCTTCCGATATCGCGGAAATGAAGGCAGACCCTGGTCTTGCCAAAACTGGACTTACGATATGTGAGAATGTTAAATCAAATCCGAGGCTCATTGTACACGGAGTGCCGGCAGAGCCGTCTGTTGAGGAGATCAAGGATGAGCTTGTGGCTCAGAACCTGAGTCTGGACTTTGCAAGCGATCTGAAGACTGTTTTTATTTTTACACCTAAGCAGAATAGGCGCACCACCAGCTGCGTTTTGGAAGTCTCTCCCGTTGTACGCAAGGATCTATTCAAATGCGGACGGATCTATCTGCGCTATGTGACTTGCTCTTTCTCGGACCATGTAAGAATCATGCAGTGCTATAGATGCCTCTCATTCGGACACATTGCTAAGGACTGCAAAAGCGAGCCTTTTTGTGGACACTGTGCTGGTTCTCACGAGATGAAGGATTGCAAATACAGAGATCTACCACCGAAATGCTGTAATTGTGTGCGTTATCACGGATCTCTTAGCGACTTGGCTCACTCGGCCTTGGATGCGGTGAAATGCCCGATACTGGGCCGAAAAATTAAGGACAAGATAACTAATACTAACTATGAATAACATGACAAAAGATCTTGAGGATCTGAAGATCTGCCATGTTAACTGGCAGTCCCTTTTCGCGGATTTCGATGAGTTTCGTCACTTCTGCAATGCTGACTACCACGTCATCTGCATGTCGGAGACGTGGCTTCGACCTGGAATCACGGACGCAATGGTAAAGCTGCCAGGGTATTCGCTCTTCAGATGATACAGAGTCGGTAGATCGGGAGGTGGAATGGCTTTCTATACATCGGACTTTCTTCGTGTCTCTATCCTGGGTAGACCTGACGGGTCTCTCACTGCCAAACCTGAATTCATAATAGCCGAAATCTCTTTTGACGATATGTCCAAGCTCTTGGTGGCAGTGGTATACCGTCCACCAAATACTGGCTATCTGAATGAGTTTTTTCAGCGATTTTTGGAATTCCAAGTAGATTACAAGCATTCGCTGATTTTCGGCAATTTCAATGCTGACATGAACCAAACTACCTTCGATAGTCAGCAGTTGAGTGCCTTCATCTCTGCATCGAACCTATATCTCGTACCGTTTTCGTCCACACACCACCTGAGAAATTCCAGCACTTTTTTGGATCTGTGCATCATTGATGATGTGGATAAGCTCATGGGTCATGGCCAACATGCGTTCTTGTCAGCACGATCTTATTTATATCAAATACGGGATCAAACTGCAGCGGCGTCGGGCTAGGTGTGTTGACTGCAGAGACTGACGTGGTTTTGATGCAACTGCCTTTCAGTCTGACATAAGTGGCATTGACTGGACTGACCTATTGGTCACGGATAATATGGACAAAAAGATCGAAGTCTTCAACGCTAAATTGCTTGAAATATTCAATTTGCATATACCGCTTAAGCGACGGCACTTCAAGAACTTGCCGTCACCATGGTTGACAGTGGATATCCGTGCTGCCATGCGCAGAAGAGATATGGCCAGAAGAGCTTAGCGGAGGCATAAAACTGACTATTACTACAACCAGTACAAACTTCTGCGCAATGAGACACAGAATGTTGTACGATCTGCCAAGAGCGCCTTCTACATTGACGCCTTCAATCGTGCGGGCAGTGCAAGCGAGGTTTGGAACAGACTAAGGCATCAAGGACTCGTCAAGGCCAGGAGTACCCCTCAGCACCTCTCGCATACTGTTGAGGAACTCAATGAATTTTTTGGACACTGTGGGCGGCATTTGAATCTGGTAATTCTCTCGAGGACATACTCACGGACGACTTCAATGACAAAGATCTTCATTGGAAATATGTTGCGCCGTCAACTATTGCGAGGGTAATTGCTAGAGCTAGGTCTAATGCAGTTGGCATGGATGGCATTTTGTTAAGATTATTGAGGCTCTCGATGAACAGTACACTGCCTATTATGGAGCATTTATTCAACTTCTCCCTGACATATGGAGTCTTTCCGGAACAATGGAAATCGGCTCTTATCTGTCTGATTCCTAAGATCAGGAATCGGACATCAGTACAGCATTATCGGCCGATCTCAATCCTTCCTGCTTTGTCGAAGGTGCTTGAGCGTATGGTCTGTGACCAGATCCGGGAGTATCTTGAGGATTCTGGCCTTTATGATCCGTGTCAGTCAGCATATAGAAACAACAACTCAACGCAGACATGTTTGATTCGGATGCTGGACGAAGTTAGGTACGCAGCGGACCGAAGGATGGTTACCGTGTCGGTTTTCCTTGACTTCTCGAAGGCTTTCGACAGGGTGGATCACTTCCTTGTAATTAATAAATTGAATAGTTTGAATTTCTCGGATGGTATAGTATGGTATAGATGGATGCATTCTTATCTAACGGAGCGGACTCAGGCTGTCAGGGACGGGGCGGAGGGCGTGGTTTCGTCCCTGTCTCGTGTTGGGGCTGGAGTGCGTCAGGGCTCGGTTTTGGGCCCTTTACTGTTCACATTATATCTGTCGGACTTTGGGCGTGTGCTCAAGCACTGTAAATATAATTTTTACGCCGACGACCTCCAAGCCTACATCCACTGTGCTCCTAGGGACCTGCCTGATGCTATCCGGATGGTAAATGAGGACATTAATGCCATCCTTGTCTGGTCGACTACCAACAGGCTTATTTTGAACTCTGAGAAGACGCAGGAAATAGTCATGGGAACGTTGCGATACGTCAGGACTATCGATATGACTACTCTTCCTGAAATAAAAGTGGACAAGTACAATACTCAACATCTATTAAGTACCTCGGAGTGACGATCATGAACACTCTGTCATGGGAGAGGCAGGTCACCATGACGAACAAGATTCACTCGATACTGTATCAGCTAAAGCTTTGCAAGCACCTGTTACCGGAAACTTTTAGATCCAAGCTTGTAACCACGCTAATCTACCCACACGTTGACTATTGCTGTGCAGCTTACATGGACATGACGGCTGAGCATAACCTAAAACTCCATAGAGCCATAAACTACTGTATCAGATTTATTTTTAACGTGAAGGCTGACATGCATATTACGCCCTACTACAAGAGGCTCAGGTGGCTCAAGATTGATTTAAGGAGAACTTACTTCGTTGGATGCCTACTGTTCAGGATACTTCGGACAGGACAGCCTGGCTTTTTGCACTCCAATTTTAATCAAAGGGTATTAACATCAGACCGAGCAACGAGGGTTTCGAATAACACTCTAATTCAGCCACAATGTAGGACTGAGCTGTTCAAACGTTCTTTTAGAGTAACCTCGGTTAGGTTGTGGAATGGTCTCCCCCTGTCAATCAAGAACGCGAAGACTTTAAATGATTTTAAGCAGAGACTCTATACGCATTCGCTCGTCTGTTATCTGATATAAGGTCACGATCCTTGCTGTCCTTGACACTCTGGTATCTCTCTCTGGCATACCTTTTTCATTTTTCATTTTTTATTTTTCATTTTTCATTCTTCATTCTTCATTTTTCATTTTTTATCCTTCATTTTTCATTTCTCATTTTTCTCATCTTCTCTCTCTCTCTCTCTCTCTCCCCTCTATTTTTCTGTACTTGTTTATCTAACTGGGGACGCGTGCGTGTGTATGTTTAAATCTCTGTACATCTCTATATATTTCTATATTCTGTATTTCTACAGGGTGGGGCATTTATATTGAGACACCTAAATATCTAAAAAATAAAGCAAGATAGAAAGAAATGTTTCAGACAAAAGTTGTTCGGTTCTAAGGGGGTCATAAGATGGTGCCATTAGTTCGACGTTGAAGAGTCACATGAAGGGCACGTAAAGATCATTTTGAATTTCTTAAATAGAATACCCTATATATTTTTGCATATTCTGGTAGCTTACTTCCAGAGCTTTTCAAAACACTATAATAAAGTATTTTTTTATTAAGTACTTTTTGAGTTATTTTATATCTTAGTCTGACATATTTTGATATAAAAAATAAAATATCTAAAACTAAATATTTTATGAGATATTTTATTTTTTATATCAAAATATGTCAGATTAAGATATAAAGTAACTCAAAAAGTATTTAATAAAAAAATACTTTATTATAGTGTTTTGAAAAGCTCTCGAAGTAAGCTACCAGAATATGCAAAAATATATAGGGTGTTCCATTTAAGAAATTCAAAATGATCTTTACGTGACCTTCATGTGACTCTTCAACGTCAAACTAATGGCACCATCTTATGACCCCCTTAGAACCAAATAACTTTTGTCTGAAACATTTCTTTCTATCTTGCTTTATTTTTTAGATATTTAGGTGTCTCAATATAAATGCCCCACCCTGTATATATATATATCTAGTTTCTCAATATTTATTCCAATATCACAATAATTTATATATTATTCATGTGAGTTTGTAGATATTATATACTGAAAAGAGAGAGAATGACTCTTATGCATTTTATTTCAAACAAAATTTTTTTACACGATTTTATTAAAAATGAAACTGATTTTCAGCAATGGAAAATTTATAATATCTAAATTTAACAAAATTAATGACATAAAACATTGCTTTATAAGATATAATCAGAAATGCATAAGTCATCCCTTTACTTTAAATGTAACTAATCTTGAAAGAAATGAAATCTCTGAAAAATAAGAAAGCAATCCTTTACTCATCTTCATATTTAAACTAAAAATTGTCTATTGTATATACATATATAGTAACAATAGTAGTAGTTTTAATAGTAGTTAGTGCCAGAGGCGGTTTATTTGTGAGCTGGCTGCTTTTAAAAATATTTTACACCAGATATGGTTTGCATGTGCGTTCTGGTTATTAAATAAATATAATCCAGAGGCGATTTTTTTGTGTGCTGGTTATTACAAAAAATATTATCCAGAGGCCATTTATTCGTGAGCTGGTTGAGAAATATTTCACATCAGATGCGGTTTGCATGTGCGCTCTGATTATTATGAAATATTTAAGAGGCATTTATCTTGTCAAAACGTTATCTATTGTATCATACTATTACGTCCAGACTCGAGGAAGGATGAGTCAGTGGAAGGGTGCAACCACTATCTTTATGATCCCGAAGTCAAACGTCTCAAGGCGTTAGAATCGAGTCGAACGAACTTGACGGTCCGAAAATCAGGTAAACGACCGTTCGGATCGTTATTACTCTGCTTTTCGGAAGTTCGCTCGGCGGACCCTTTTTTGGTAAGAGAACTTAATCTCTGTTACGCGGGATGGGACCAAGTGCGATCTTCGGACTGGGAATGAGAGGAGGTTAATAATGATTTGATTTAAATTAAAATACAAATTTATTCATAATAAATTAAATTATGTTGGTATACATAAATTTATTATATCGAAATGATAAGAACAATAATTATTTTAATATGTGTGTGTGTGTGTGTTTGTTTGTTCGCGGATCTTACAATCGTACGGAGGACACCAGTCAGAATGATGAGGCAAGATTCTATTGTTAATATTGAATTTCTGACTGGTTATTATAAAAATATCTGTTAGAAAAGAAAAAAACAATTTGTGTGAGTGAGAGTGTGTAGGAATACTAGGAGTTTAATTTCATAATTCTAGGATTGGTATGATAACTTGTCATCGAGATCAGAAAGTTCATTACAGAACTCTTCCAGTGCTCTCTCGAATTCGTCGGATTCGAGAGGGGAAAGGAGAGGGTGGAGATTGATAGGAGGATTCGGCCTCCAAATCAGGGAGTTCGTTGCAGAAATCCTGCAATGCCTTCTCGAACTTGTCTAATTCGGCAGGGTGAGAAGGAGGGGGTGAATTATCAAGGATGATCGTTGACAACAAGGAGAACGATCGGGGGGAAAGCGGCGGTTCGGGAGAAGGTGGTTCCGAAGAATATATCGAAGAGTAACTAGGGAAGTAGTGATAGGGGGAAAGAGGAAGAATTGTATGTCCAATGGGTGTTTCAATGTCTTACGAGTTCTCTTTTTATAATCCTCTTGTGGGGGTGTATTCTAATTTTAAGAGTGGGGATCTTCCAAAAACCTCAACGAATTGAAATTATGCAAAAGTAGGGATTCTTTAAGATTTTAACGAATTAGAATCGTGCCAGTGTCCTCATTCGGCAGGGGGTGTCTCCTATTTTCATATTTTTACACGTGCTGATCGTCGGTTGGCAAGTTCGATATCAATTCAAAAGTTCCTTAAACATTAGCTTTTCAGGGGGATCCTCGCGCACATGATCTGGTTAGAAAAGAGTCTTACTTCCTTATAATTATTTTTGTCGACGTTGATGCAGCTGTGTTTATTAAATATTTCGTCAAGGAGATTTTATCGTTATTGGTCCAGTTGTACTTGTCAGTTAGAAAATTATTATCAGTATTAATGCAGCTGCGTTTATTAAACGTTTCATTAAAAGTTCTTGTTATCTCCTTGTTCTTTCGCCGGAAAATTCTACTGCAAAGGGTAGCTATTATTTTTTATTTATCTCGAGGAGACCGGCATGGTTTCCATCACCGATTTCCTTGCGTTTTTCCCATAGATGGTCGTGGATGTAGTTAATAATAAATGACAGTGTTTAAAAGAGACGTATGGCGCAAGATGCTTTGTTTATTAAACGATCCATTCTTATCACCAACTGACGATTGTTACCGCAACGTCACGGAAGGAAGGAATTGTGGAGCCGCTAGGACGTAACAATACAATACTTAATTTTTAGTACCAATTACATAAAGAAAAGACTGCACTTATTTTTCAGAGATTTTATTTTTTTAAGATTAAATAAAATGATAAAATAAATGACATCTTATTTTTGTGGCAATATTTTACAAAATATTAATCCATTTATTTTTCTTTGCAGGCGACAATTATTGAAGTTGGTAAAGACCCAAGAGGCAAATGACTCCAGAAGCACTAAGGATACCAGCAACGAATCCATCGATTTTCAGAAATCGGTGGGATCACTCCCCAAAACGATGGATTCGAAAGTTAGTACCCAAATAACGCAGTGCCTGGAGTCTACTTTAAATACAGGTATGTGTTATCAAAATGTCGAACTTTGCGAAGATAACAATAATTATGTTATCGAAAATGGCCTTCTGGATACAAATCGTATCCAGGAAAGCATGCCTGAAGGCCATCGCGTTGTCGATATATCTTTTCTGTGGAATGAAATTCACAGAACATTTGCTAACCATGCGCAAGAAATAGAATGCCAATTTAAAGATTGGAAACTCGTAAATTCTCGTCGGCGTGGGTTAATGACGCAGTTGTTCTTCAAGTGCCAAATGTGCAATTATGAAGCCAACATCTGGTCAAAACCTACAGAGCCGGAAACATTGGACATTAATACGGCCGCTATAGCAGGAACTGTTACAGTGGGAATTGGTTATGCCCAGCTGGAAGAGCTATGTGCAGCCATGAATGTTCATTGTATGTCCGAGCCAACTTATATCAAATATAGAAACAATTTAGTCGATGATTTTGAAAAAACAGCCATGGAAAATATAAAAATGGCTGGCGAAGTTGAAAAGCAACTCGCTCTTGAGAAAAACAAAGTTATAAATGGTATTCCGTATAACTCCGTATATAACAGTTATAGCAAATGTTGGATGAAGAAATTGTACGGCAACGCCTGCGACTCTCTTTTCGGTATTGGAGCCATAATTGGTTACCGCACGGGAAAGATTCTCTTCGTCGGTGTCCGCAATAAATTTTGTACGCTATGTGATGTGGCAGAGCAAAAAGGTATTCAACCGAAAGATCACAAATGCTACAAAAATTTTGATCGGAACACAAGCTCTACAAGCATGGAGAGCGATGTCATCGCGGAAGGTTTTAAATGTAGCCTCGAAATGCATGGTCTGATTTATAAAACGGTTGTTGCCGATGGTGTCAGTAGCGTTTATCAGGCCATTGTTGATAACAGACCATACTGTGACTATATAGTGACAGTAAAAAAAATAGAATGCACCAATCATTTGCTTCGCAATTTATGCAAAAGGCTAAAAGCTGTGGCTGAGATGACTCAGCCAAAAATGCATAGATAGCGTGGCTTTGTAGAGGTACGAAATGTTGTACAAAACAACATTTTAAAAATACGGAAGGAAGTAAAGGTAGCAGAAGTTACCGCTGATCTACAACTGCCTGGGGAGGCCTCAACTCTTGCATCTTTCAGCACAGATCTTATCCAACCGCCTATTACAGTCTTGGAAGCTGGGCGAGCCTCGCCCGTTACTGTGATAAAGAGATGATGCAACTCTTTCC